ACTTAAGCTTGAGAAGAAAGAACAAAACAGTTATTTCATGTCCAGATTAGAACCAATATGAACAATGATTCATAATTGAGCTTAATTAAATCCACAGAATGCTCTTTGGACTCTGTATGTATCTGGATTGACAACCAAAGCCTTCCCAAATTCACTAAAAACTTGGACGAGCTGCATCTTTGCTTTGGATCTGTTGGGTGAGCAGAAAAGAACAGGGTGTTACTACTGCCTGAGGAGTTAGTGATGTGAGCGTCTTTTTTCATGTGCCTGTTGGCTCTCTCTATGTGTTTTTTGGAAAAATGTCTATTCATATCCTCTGCCCATTTTTTAATCAGATTTTTTTTTTTTTTTGCTATTGACTTGCATGCATTCTTTTATGTATTTTGGATATTAACTTCTTATCATATTTGATATTGGAAGTAATTTTCTCTCAGTAGGTTGCTGTTTCATTTTGTTGATGATTTCCTTTGCTGCGCAGAAACTTTTTCATTTGATATAACCCCCTTTGTTTATTTGTGCTTTTGTTGCCTTTACTTTTGGTGTCAAATCCAAAAAATCATTGCCAAGACCTATGTCATGGAGCTTACAGCCTGTGTTTCCTTCTAGGAATTTTATGGCTTCAGGTCTTACATTCAAGTCTTTAATCCATTTTCAGTTAATTTTTGTGTATGGTGTAAGATAGTAGTCTAGTTTCATTATTTTCATGTGGCTGTGCGGTTTTCCCAACACTGTTTATTGACACTGTCCTTTCCCCATTGTATATTATTGCCCCCTTTGTTGTAAACTAATTGACCATGTTTGCATGGGTTTATTTCTGGGCTCTCTCTTCTGTTCAATTGATATATGTACCTGTTTTTATGCCAATACCATATTGTTTTGATTAGTTATGTAATGTAGTAATGTAGTTTGAAACCAGGGAGTCTGATGCCTCCAGCTTTGTTAAGATTGCTTTGGCTATTTGGGGTCTTTTGTGGTTCCATGCAAATTTTAGCATTGTGTGTTCTATTTCTGTGAAAAGTGCCATTGGAATTTTGATAGGGATTGTGCTGAATCTGTGATATAGACATTTTAACAATATTCTTCTAATTCGTGAGCATGGGATGGATATCTTTTCATTATTTGTATCTTCACTTTCTTTCATCAGGGTCTTATAATTTTCAGTGTACAGGTCTTTCACATTCTTGGTTAAATTTATTTCTAGGTATTCTTTTTGATGCAATTGTAATTGGGATTGTTTTCTTAATTTCTCTTTCTGATGGTTCACTATTAGTGTAAGTGTATAGAAACACAATTAATTTTGTATTGATTTTTGTATTCTGCAACTTTATTGAAATCTGTTTATTAGTCCTAACAGTTTTTTGGTGGAGTCTTTGACCTTTTCTATGTCTAATATGTCATCTGCAAATAGTGACAGTTTTACTTCTTCCTTTCCAATTTGGATGCCTTTTATTCCTTGTTCTGGCCTAATTGCTTGGGCTAGGACTTCCAATACAATGTTGAATGAAAGTGGCCAGAGTGGGCACCCTTGCCTGTTTTTTTTGGTCTTAGAGGAAAAGGTTTCCAGCTATTCACCATTCAGTATGATGTTAGCTATGGGCTTGTCATTTATGGCCTTTATTATGTTGAAGCACATTCCCTCTCTACCCACTTTGTTGAAAGTTTTTATCATGAATGGATGTTGAATTTTGTCAAATGATTTTTCTGTATCTATTGAGATGATCATATAATTTTTATCCTGCAGTTTGTTAATGTGCTGTATCATGTTGATTGATTTGGGCATGTTAAACCATCTTTGCATCTCTGGAATAAATCCCACTTGATCATGGTGTAGGATCTTTTTAATGTGTTGTTGAATTCGGTTTGCTAATATTTCGTTGAGGATTTTTGTATCTGTGGTCATCAGGGACATTGGCCTGTAATATTCTTTTCTTTTCTTGTGGTGTCCTTGCCTGGTTTTGGTATCAGGGTAATGCTGACCTCATAAAATGAGTTTGGAAGTGTTCCCTTCTCATCTAGTTTTGGAAAGAGTTTGAGAGGGATTGATATTACTTCTTTGAATGCTTGGTAGAATTCACCAATGAAGCTATCTGGTCCTGCATTTTTGTTTGTTGTGAGGTTTTGATTACTGATTCAATATCCTTACTAGCAATTGGTCTATTCAGATTTTCTATATTTTCATGACTCAGTCTTGGAAGGATTTATGTTTCTAGGAATTAATTAATCTCTTTTAGGTTGTCCAGTTTGTTGGCAATATAATTGTTCATAGTGGTCTCTTGTGATTCTTTGTATTTCTGTGGTATCAGTTACAATGTCTCCTCTTTCATTTCTGATTTTATTTCACTTCTACTTTAATGGCAAAATTAAGACTCGTTGTGGACAATTTCACTTTTGCTTTCCCTTGAGTTTAATTTGTTTAGGAAAGTCTAGTATTTTTATCCAGATTTATAATATTTCTTTAAATAAATCTATTTGATACTCAGAAGAAGAAATAGAGAATTATCTAAGGATGCTCCTGAGAATTCTTCTACATAAAAATGATAAGGGCACTCACATTAGATATTTTTAAAGATATAAAGGTAGTATTAATCTTTGGTTGCTTTTTATCAAATTTTGACCTTTTAAATTGACTTTTAAAGAAACAGGAAAAAGTCTAATGCTCAAGTGATTTTTGAAATGGTCTTTATAAGATCAAATTTAATCAGTGAGTTTTAACTAGTATGGAGTTTTCTATAACTGAAAGTGCTGTCTTGTAAAATTCATGTTTGGTTTTTAATTAATTGCTTCATTTCTGCCTTCTGTTTGTATGGAGGAAAGTGTATATAATTGCAGCAAGATCCCAGTCTTTTATAATGCAAGTGATGACATAACATTGTCAAACAGTTCTCATACGTGTCTAACAAATTATTCTCAGGCTTGTTCAGCATTGCTGATTTTGGCAGTGGAAGACTATTAATTTTAAAGTTTTACATTTTTGTATATTGTAGCTCTTCATTTTTGATTTGTTGTTGTTAGGTTTAACTTCGGTATGACTTTTGGCCCACTTGATAGGTTGTTATAAAATGTTCTTCCTCTCCTCCCTTTTTCTGCATCATGCTGCCTCTTTACCAAACCATATTTCTACCTTTAAAATATACCAACATTAAAAGGCAAGTATTCTTGAGTGCTATATTACTAGTTTCTTTTAAAGAGAGTCTTTCCTTGTCACTCATGGGTTCCATGGTAGAATGTGATTTGTTTTTCATTTTTCCTGTTGGTGCAACATGTAGCCGATGCTGCTGTGTACAGTTATGGTCACAGTGGTTACTCCTTAGGAAATTCATGGGAGAAAAATGCTGATGTCCAGAGCAGATCAGAATTCTAGTGTAATAGTTACGTCTCTGGTGAAAGTCATCTAAAACAATACTCTCTCGACATTTTCTACCAATATACTTGGACAGACTAAAGAGTACCCAAAGCAGCCATTTTCAAGACTTCCTTGAAATCTCTTTTATGTATTTGTGCAACTTTTATAGTGTATAGTACTTGTTTAAACATAAGAAATTATTTTAAATGGCCAGTGCATCTAATGGGCCATCATATGCCCTATTTATTTTGTGATATGTTTACGTGACATGTTACCTTATTCTCCTAGTGATTTGAGAAGTACTGAAGTTAAGTTTAATTCTAGATATTACATGGATGTTAACTTAGATGAAAGTTATAATATTGTGTAAATCAAGTTGTCATTTTTTTTTTATAGCTAGCCAGTATAGTTCAGATGATTTAAAATGGGACTATTGGAAGGTCATAGTGGCAGGTGATGAAAGTTAATGTAATTTTTTATTTTGGACTGAATGAAAGAGTCCAGTAACATGAGGCTGATGAATGCTTCATTAATCAAAATGGAAGGTGGCCAAAACTGAGGGATTTGACTAAAGTACTGAAAGATTTGAAGCTGTGGAGGGAGAAAGAACAATTAACATTATAACAACATGTTTTAAATGACGATGGGAAAGCAGAGACACTGAGGTCACTTGTTTGAAAAAATGACTTATTGGTAACTTGAAGTGGAAGAAATTAGAAGTTAGTATGGTATTTGCTCTCAGTAGTTTATATATTAAACTGATAGTAATGTTGCTAATCCTGAACTATGGTGTTTTGCTGATGTAATTGCTTGTACCTGCTTCCATTATGCGTTATCTTTCCTCAGAGTGAAGGTTCGTAGGTGTTTTTTTTGGCAGCTATTTGAATGAAAGATGGTTCCTTCTGGTTGACTTTTCTTTCTGAAATATTTTTGTTTTTTGCCTATCCCTTTCAAGACGGTGGACTTTTTCCTTATGATTTGAGCTATGAAAGATTAGAGATTAGGTATGAAGTATTTCAATCATATAACATGCCTGGTAGGAAATGGATGCCACTTCATTTATCAGTGAGAAAAATAAGATAGGGTGACACTAAGAACATGGTGATTGGCTGTGAACTCAGTCTAGGTCTTAATACAATACAATATTCATTACCATCAATGTGTGTGTGTGTGTGTGTGTGTGTGTGTATAAGAGAGAGAGAACATTTTAAAAAATTATTTTGCAAGACAAATCAGAAGGAAACTACTTGCATTATCTTAAATTATAAATCTTATAAAAACAGATAGAAGCCTTGTGATTTTTCATGAATTCAGTTTCAGGGATCATGTTATCTACTTACTTCTGAATGAATTTTTTTGCTGTTAATGGTACTGTTGCTTGAATTTAAATCTTAGAGGGTTATGTTGCTTTATCTTTTATACTTCTGCAACTAAATGATTTTGCCAAACAAAGTGAATTTTTTGTTAATGCTATCGTAATAATTTTAAATTATTGTTTCTGGTAAACCAAGAAAAAGCAAGAGTCTATCCCCTACCCACTCCAGGAAGTCAGTCATTTAAGATACCTGGGTCCTTCTACTTACAGTGCTATTTTGATGTGACTCTTTCATTTGTAGGAAAAAGCAGTCTCTGAAGGCAGATAGAGCATCTGTCCTTATGCTCCAGCTCTACTGCTCATATTTTCTTTCCTTTTTATTCCCCTGACTTATTAATACCTGGTTATGTAATATATGAAATTTCAGAATGAGCTCCAGTTTAAATTTTGGCATTCCTTACAATTGCTCTTTCTATTATTTATTTAAAATGTTGAAGTCAGATGATTTTAAATAATAGTTTCTTACATGGTATACTTAACATGTAATGTTTATTGAATGTTTATTGAATGATAGAAAATGGGCTTAAAATTCTGCAGGAGGTGTCCTCCTTCATGGATAATGGTGTATTACAAGAATACATTTTGTAATGCTCATATTTTCAAGCTATGACAGTATGTATTTAATATACTGATGTCATAGACTCTTAGGCAGAGGAAAGTTGCAAAATATAAAGTGTGATCCAGGAGTTTAGTGTATGAATGGTTTAGGGAAATAGCAAGTTTATGTGTAGAGTCAGCATAATCCTCTGGAGTTTTTTTTATGATTCTCGACTGACAAATTTTCTACTTTGTATTTTTTTGTATATTTCCTCATTTATCATATGGTTATTTAACTTAGAATTATCTTTTATGTGCTTTTCAAATTCAAACATGAATTTCTGTCATCTTCCCACTCCATGACCCATCAAGAATCCAGCCCTCAGATTTTAACAAGTATTTCTTTGGTCCAAAATGTAAGTGTACTGTTTAATGAATAATTATAAAGTGATCATCTATGTAACCACCACCAAGGTCAAGATTACAGAGTAATGCAGCACCCTAGAAGCACTCCCTTTGGTGGATATTTCTGATCATAAACACCTCCCCTTGCAGGTGTAACCACTAATCTGATTTTTATGGTAACCACTTTCTTGCTTTCCTTTGTAACATTATCACTACTAAACTCATCCTAAGCAAAGTAATTTTGCTTGTTTTTGATTTTGATATAAATGTATATGTATTTTTATCAATTTTTCTTTTAATGGATTGTGACAGTTTAAAAAAGTCACCTAGGACAGGAATAGTCTCCAAATTACAGTAAGAGAGTATGTATATGCAGGCCTGTACATGTTTTGGTCTATATTTATCTTTTGCTGCTTAGTGTAAGTACAATTCTTCTTAAATATTAGATATAGTAACTAATAAGTTGTCATTATATTTTTATCTGCTGTGCTGGCCCTGTGTTTTTTTAATATTTGAGGTTAAGTTTTGAATTTTATAAATTATAGATTTTAGTGGAGAGCATGTAGAAAGTACTCCGTTCTTCTGTATATCATCCTGATAGCATGAATAGCCATGATATTCTTTTTATGATTAGAAAGAAATTATGTGCTGAGTGCCAGAAGTCAAAGTTCAATCATTAAATGTTACTCATTTTCAGAACTCTAGTCAAGAAGATTTTAATATATATTGAAATATTTTAATAGGCTCTATATAGCTTAATAGCTTGCCGAGCAATGAAATTTTTTGAAAGTATAGACTATATGTAAATACCTAATTTAGAGATAAAGATTTTCAACCTTACCTCGTTCCCATTAAGAATAATGTTAGGTTTCACTTAATAGTGTTGGATGTCAGACTTTTGACCTGTTTGTCCTTGGTTTGGAAATGGCCTAGTGTTGTTTATAGTTGTATAACTTGAGCACAAGTGGTTTCTATAGCTACTGTCCAGTACCAGATGGAGAACAGTGGGAAGCTTTGATAAGGGGAGCAGGGTTTTTAAACAAAAGCCGGACATAGGTAATTACCCTGAAGCTGAACCGAGGCCCATTATATTCACCACTGTCATTTTCATTTCATTTTACTCTGCTGATTACGAGAAAGAAAACCTACCCACTGTTTTTCTCTTCCATCTCTTTGCCTTCTTCCTCTCACTTTACTTAAGAATGTATATCATAGCTTTACTGTTTGATTAATCCAAGAGTCTTTGTTGACAAAAATAGATGAGCATCGCCAGTTTGGTGGCTTTCACTGTGATGACAACACCATTGGTTTTCACTTATCATAGAATAAGTTTCTTAAGCCATTTGTATTCAAGTGTTTGCACTGAAACTGCTATTTTATATAAACTACTGTCACTTTGAGACTATAAATGACTTAAGGTTAATACTAGTGAGGTAGAAGAAATCATTATCTCTTTATCAGGAACTGTCAGTAAGTAAAAGGACAACTTCAACCTGACCTGTAATTAAAATAGAAGCCATTTGGTTTTCTTCTTAGTGGTTTTCAACTTCATCTTTAAAGTAACACCTTTCTGGGGGAATTTTTTGTTTTGTTTTTAAACAGTAATTTTATGAGTTGATGATTCTCCTTAGGCATTTTCACTGAAGTTTGGGGTATTCTATAAAAGTAACTCTTTTGGCTTTAAAGCGACCGTGAGAGAGCATGTTGGCCTTAGTCAGAATGTGGTAGTGAGTGGTGGATGCAGTTTGTAGTAGATGATGGGGTGCGGGCAAAGAGGTTTAGGGAATTCATACCTGATGACTCCTTTTTTCTCTGTAAAGGATTTAAGTTTTTGCTGAGAGTGAATAAATAGGTATTAATGTAAAGTCTTAAGGACAGGAGAAATGTTGGATAAGGTGCTATGAGAAATGAGAAAGAAAAGTAGTCTTTTAATGATTCTTACATTTGTGTATTTTTTATATTTTGGTGTTTTCTTTCCCTGGCTTGATTGCATGTTCCCTGAGGGGAAAACCATGGCTTTCATCACTTAACATGTGTTTATGGGTCTATTGTTTGAGGTGTTGAGGCTAAACAGAAGAATACAACATAGTATTGATGCTTAGAGAACTTGCACAGTGGGAGAAATGATCGCCTGACTATTCCCACATACCGTTCTCTAGTGATCTGTGCAAGGTGCCATGTGAACACCAGAGAGCACCTATCTGAGAAGATGGTGCTTGAGTCAAGAGAGGATGCCAACATTTTAAGCAAAAGGTGCAGAAACTGAGTGGGGTTGTGGTGCATTTAGGGAACCTTAGACATTTTAGCATGGCTGAAATACCAAGTATTTGGAAGAGGAATGGTTGAAGATGAAGTGGAAAACC